GTTTCACCTAATAACCGTAGCGCACCGGCGTTAATCTCGCGAAGTAATCATAAAAGTAATTATCGCCGGCACGTCGGAATTTATCGTAAGGAGCTCGACATCGCCCGGTGTCCTTACCTCTTGCGCGAACAGGCACTCTCTTCTATCTTTCATCGGAGAGAAAGATGTATGATATTTGGAACGATATTAGCACTTAGTTGAACGATTACCGTCAAAAATCCATGTTTTTGCCATGAATTATGATGATTTTTTAGTATAATTACGGTAAATATAATAAATTATAACAAAGTAACAAATATGGAATGGTAACAGAAATTGATCATTTCACATGGTTCAACACAATCGTAATAAATAAATAATACTGTGTATAACAACGTTCTTAACACATGTTTTATTGTACATATGGTAATAATAATAAATAAAATAATGAAAGAAACAATCATTTCTATTGAAAAAAAAAAAACGAATCACTGTCATTACACGAATGTTTACGTTTGATTATATTCATAACTCGCAAATTACCATTATCAGCTCGTCCTACCGCTTCCTGCACACTCATTTACTGATATATTTTAATTAAATCTCAATTGTCTACTTTTATATAATATTAATTATATTGTTCAATAGTTACATAATTGCGCTAATTATACCATACATAGACAATACGCAAGACACCTGTCAATTGAAAAATTGGCGTAGTGCGTGAGGCAGGCGACTCACAACACGTACAGTCACATCTTTATAGGAATTGTTTTTCCTTTCATTATTTCATTTATTATTACCATGAGTAAAACGCGTATTAAGAATGTTGTTAATTATAGCATTATTTGTTATTCGTTACGAGAGATTGACTATGTGCAAAATGGTCGATATCTCTTGCCGTTCCATATTTACTACTTTTTTTACTGTGTATAAACGTAAACAGTTGAGGCCATGTTTGACTATAAGACATAACAAAATTATAGTTACTCCGTTCATTTTTCCCTCAGTGCGTTAACCCTTCGCCTTTGCTCGCACGATCCGTCTAATAACTTCGAGCACTTAGCCCGATCACTGTCGATGAAATCATCATTCTAAAACCGGCGTAACTTTGCAGGCTTGACTACGTTGCGACTGACAACACTGGTTGAGTACGCACGCACCTCGCATGACGGCGTCTCGGCGTACGAAGAGGAAAATCGCGTCGTCGCCCATGGGAGAGCGAGCGCGCCGTAAGTAAGACAACATATTCACGAGGCTGTATCGGATTTTATTCCGCGGGTAAATCCTCGAATCTCAACGGGCCCGTGTCTTCGCGTCTCTTTCGTCCCCGGGCTGCTCGTCCTGATGGTCCTCACCCTCCTCCGTCTCTTCACTCACCGCCGTATCCCGCGCGCTTTCACTCGGCGCGGAGAAGTTTCGGGAGTTACGGCGACTGCTCGTAAGCCGACGAAGACGATGACAGTCCCGGCACGTCTTTTTACCGGCGAAGGTCATTTCGTCGGAGAAACGTGGAGATGGCAGGGTTGCGGCCCGCCCCAGCCTACTTCGTTTCGCCTCTCCCCTTCGCCCTTCGAGCCCTCTCTCTCATCCCTGCCTCTCGTTTTCCTGCCACGTCGCCGGAGCTCGTCCGTATTCAAATGTTCGGTCGGGGATGCACGGAGGCGGACGAGAACCGAATTACCTGCCCTCTCCGAATTGGAGACCGGGGACGGGGGCGAGTCGCTGTTACGGTAGCGAGGCGAGAAGAAAGTGGGACATCCAACGCGGAGAAGGCTTCCCCTTTTTCATTTATTTTTGCGAGAGACGCAGCGCGTCACTAAACATTTCATCCGAGCACGAAGTGGGTGTTGTCCAATAATCTTAAAATAAGGTACAAAGGGACAAAGCGTGACTTGCCGTAGTTGGTTTTTCTCTTCCTTTTCCGAAGCTAAATGCAAATCGGACACGAGCCGGCCGTGCACGACGACGAAGCGAGATGTATTTTCGGCACTTGCGTTCCCGGCGATTCCTCCTTTTTATGCGAGTTTCTTCGTTTAATCCTTCGACCGCACTCTGCATCGGATTTGTCAATAACCTAACACCTGTTTATCCTCGCATGCGTGCGATCAAGCAATAAAGTAGGAAAGTTACACTTTATTCTAGAATGTTGTCAACCTCTTTTGGAGTTCTTCAGATATGCAATTGAGAAAACCGCGCGAGGTCAATATGATCCTATTTGCGTTGCGCGTGACTTTTCGAAAGGTTAACGTGATATACAAGTGCGCGGGAGGAGAGCGGGCAAGCAATCTCTCGTCGAGATCTCTCCTCTTTGTCCATAAATAGTACACCGATGTTATAAAAGAGTTCGTCACGCTCGGAGATTTTTAAGGAAAGAGTGTCGTGTACCCGCGCGCGCCCATATGAGCGATAAGATTACGGAAGAAGATAAATTACGGAGAGATAAAACGCTCTTTGTACGTTGGACTTACAATTAGGAGGAATTTTAAGAAGAAGCGCGCGATGAGATCTTACCGAGATCTCGAGAAAAAGAAGAAGAAGAAGAGAAAGAAAAATAGCAATAACGTTGAATTCGCGATCGCGATTGAAATTGAGTCGCGGCGGCGGCGATCGTCTCTCGTGAGAACGTAATTAATGCGATTAACGAACCGTCTCTCGTCAAATCTCGCTCGGCTTTCTCGAGCTCGTGTCCCCGGTGTGTCATGTATGCATAACGGGGAACGTACGGGCAACCCCTACGCGCAACATCTTATAACTGCCGCGCCATTAACGGCGCCGCGCGCGCGATCATTGTAATATACGTTTAGTTTAGTTTAGCGTACGAGGGGCTGCGAGAGAGCGAGCCGCCGCCGATGCGACCCCTCGCGTGCCAGCCGAGGGTGCATAATTTATCGCCGCGTCCCGACCGCCGTAATGCAATACGTTACACGCTCGGCATGCATGCGGATTCCGCGTAGGTTATCGATGCTCCCTCAATGTCCGAGGGGGCACGGTGGCATAACTAACTACCTATAAATAGCGCGATCATGTATCGGCATTCATTGGCTGATACCGCCCCGTTTTGGACAACGGCACTTTATATTCCGCCGTGACACATAACGACGCGAAAAATAACACATCTACGGGCTCTCTCGCCTTCGTCTTCCGCGCAGAAATGTCGTTCACGTCCGGGCGATTTTTAACGCCAACTTTCACGCGTTCCTCGCAGGAGGCGGCGGCGGCTCGTCTCCTCAAAATCGCCGGAGATCAATTTTTACTTCCCCCCATCCGCCGTATATACGCGTCGAGAAATGAAAGTTTTTATCTCTCTCCCTTTCACTCTTCTTTTGTCTTTATTTTTGTATTTTTTTTTTTTTCAATTGTCAAGTTATTATTTATGTGTGTATTATTAGGCGTTTGAGGGTTTCCCAGAGAGCGTAGAATAAATAATGCTTTCTCTCTTTCACTCTCTCTCTGTCTGACCGCAGCGAAGTCGAAAGTCGCGTGGGCAGGGTTTTGCATTTCCGAGGCGTTCGACTTTAGAATAGAATTGGTTTTTATTGTGACTAGATTACAAACGGGGCCTTTACGGCGCTCAATATCGCCCAGTAGGAACGTTTACACGTAGTGAGTGAGGTGACAAACGGGAATGAAGACATTCTGCGTGACGTTACGGATCACTCACCGCAGGGACCGGGATATGTGATTACGACGAAACATTTGTACGACATCGGGATTCATACAAAATAGCGGTCGTTTCTTACGCCTACCTTACGTGACTATGTCTCGATCTACGGCGATCATCGGCCGCTCGCTGTCGACTTTCGAAGTCGATCGATTCGCGATCGTGTCGTCGTCTCACCCCGTCTCTCTCTCTCTCTCTCTCTCTCTCATAATCTCACCGACGCAGCGCCGCGTCTTCCACCCCCTTCCCCGACCCTCCCCCCGTTATATCATATAATTTATACAATTATCCGTGGCCCTCCGCGCGGCATTTGATCACTTTACCATACGTAATATATTTGGGTTTAACTTTGGCTTGTTGTTTTTCCTCACAGCGTGATCTATCAAATAATAAGCTACTTATAAAAATAGGACACTTTTCGTTGGTACGTTAATGCCTCTCTAATTACGCAATCAAGGGATACGTATTATAAGTTAAACGCTGCCGTTGGAACGATAGACGAATACGAAGTGGAAGAGGAATCGACGGACTTCAAAAATCCCAAATTACACGCGCCCCGCGAGAGAGGATACTGTGTGAATATTATTTATAATTATTCCACGATACTAATTTCATATTTATAACGTACGCCTAGCCTCGATAGGATACTCCCTGCTCGTTACACTGTACAACGCATAGACCGTTTCTCGCTCGCTTACAGCCTACAAGATTTTGGTATTTTGCTGAATAATCGTTATTATCGTCATTGCAATGTAACAATTTTGGTATACAGTTACGCCCGCGGCGTAAAGTGCCCGGCGTCTACTATACATATATCTACAGAATAGTGAGTACACGATCCCCCCTCCTCCCTCCCCGTCGGGAGGGTGGGATCTCCATTATCCCTTCGTTTTCCGCGCTTCCGTTCAGCGAAAATTAATCCCCCGATCTTTCGCGTCGTTTGCGGAAGAAGAAGTTCACCGTGGAGAACGCATCGTATACAATCGGCGCGCATTCGCGTGCGTTCGCGCACGTCGAAGAAGAAACCTCTCTCCCCGCGTCCCCCGGCTGAAAGAAAATATTACACGTGGATTCATCACGAGACGTACATACCTATATACAGCGCATCGAGGATAACGGATATATATATATATATATATATCGCGACGGCCGATCGGAGAAGAAGGATCGGGGGATTAAATGCTCGTCTCGTCGCGGCGGAAACTCGACATTTGTACTCCGTCAACTTCGACGCGTTTCACGAATTAATATTTCCACCTCCGCGCCGGTCCCGACCGTCGTCAGAGCGGCCCGATACAGCCGGAGAAACGAAGAGCGAGATCTCGCGAGACGAGCGTCGGAAATCTTACTGCTGCCCTCAGTCGTCGTCCCGCGGCTGCGTCTGCGAGCCGGACGCGATCTGCGGCGTCGTCCAGCAGTCGAACAGAGACGGCCAGTAGGTAGGAGCGGTGGTCGCGTGCTGCCAGTAACCGGCGAGGCCGGTGCCGCCGCCGGTGGCGGTGCCGGAGCCGCTCACGATCCCGACTCCCACCGGGATGCTGCCGGCGGCAGCGGCCACCACCTGTTCGGCAGCGTTCACCATGCTGTTCACCCCGAGGACAGCCCGCTCGTCTTCCATCTTCTGGTCCGCCGCGGTCCCGTCTTCGTCGTACATGAGATAGTGCGGGTGTGAGGTCGTCGACGACGGCGTCGAGGACAGCGTCGGCGAGGCGGCGGACCGAGGCCTGGGTCACTCTTGCGATCTCAGCTGATTGTCGGCCGACTGGCCGGAGCTCATGGCGGACGGCACCACCTGGTTACCGCCGCCGGCCAGGGAATTGCCGGAATTGGACGCTACGCTGTGGTGATGGGGGCTAGAGGTAGCCCCCGCGTCACCTCAGACCTGAGCCCTGGCGGTGGCGTTGCCGTGCGCCTCGGGGCCGCCCGGGGAATGTGGGTTCGCGCCGGCCGCCGTCGTCAGCGCGTACTGGCAAGCGCTGAGACCACCGCCGCCTCCGCCGCCGCCGCCGCCGCCAACGGAGGACGCCCTCGAGCTGACCGGGCTGATGCTGCCGGCTGTGGTGCCGGTGGTGCCGCCCGCGCTGAAGGTCCCGCCGCCGCCGCTGTAGCCGCTGCTGTGCTGCTTCGCCTTCAGGCGTAACGAGGCGATGCTGCTGGAGGTCATCACCGTGCAGGATTCCGGCGGCGCCGCGGTCCGATGGTGCGGCGTGTAGACCGGCGGCCCGTAAGGATGGTGCGGCGCCGCCGGCGCCGCGTAAGGACACGCCGCGCCCGACGCCGCGACCGGCGAGCTCGCGACGCCCAGACCGGAGCCCATACCCGGCAGCATGGACGTGGCCGCCTGGCCGACCGATACCGACATGCCGCCCACGTGGCTGCCCGCGACCGACGTCGCCGCGGCGTTGAAGCAATTCACCGGGCTGACCTGCGCGTGGTGGTGATGGTGGGACGCCGTCGGCACCACCGAGCCTAACGTGTTCATCCAGGGGAAGCTCTTGCCGCTCAGCGGCGACGGCACCTTCGTCGCCCAGTTGTTGTACGTGCTGTACGAGCCGTAGAGGGTGTCCGGGTCCGGGAACGGCTGGGTGATGAAGCCGTTCAGGCTGGCCGTGCTGAAGCCCGACTTGAAGTCCGCCGCGGCCTGCGCGGCGGCGTTCATCGCGTTCCGCTCCTTCTTCCGCCATTTCGCCCGTCTGTTCTTGAACCAGACCTGGAAGCAGGAAAAGGAAGCGTTGCGTTGAGTCGTGCTGATAGGTGTATTTGTTGCGCACTCGAGAAGGGAATTTCCCTCGAAAAGCGTGTTGCGTATTAAGTTGTTGCGTATTGTGCGAAAGAAGATGACAAGGGGGATGACGATTCGACAATTTTTCGAACGACAAAGAACGTTCGAGGCTTTTAATAATAATGATAAATAATCTGTCGTAGTTTGACTTCGATCTGTCGACGACGGTAGATGATGTAATAAGAAATAAGCGATAATAAGGAAGCTCCTCTGGTATTTAATCAGGTGTAAAAATGACACAGGCCTTTAAGAAGCGATATACGGACGGTTTAGTACCATCAGATATTAATATTACTTATTAATATTAATATAATTGAGGAAAGGTAACGCGTGTTAACGCACGTGTCGGATTATTCGTCGCTCAAGCGTGCGCGACGTATCAGTTTCTCCACGCTTTGACCGAATCCTGAATTCCCATCTTTCGATGCGAACATTTTTTCCCGGAAAAACTCCATTCTCACTCCATTTAGCGTAGAATTTGAACGTAAGTAACGGTACAGCTTTAGTTCGAAATGGAAAGAGCGGGGAAGTTACTTCTGTTTTCCTCATTTAAAGACTTGATGCAGAACTAAGTAGACTTAATGCAGAAGCAAGATTTTTGTTAATCGTAGGAACTCCTGTCATACGAGAAATTTCATAACTGCACAGAAAATAAGTTTGCCTGAATTTACTTGGCAACGAACGAATCAGATGGTTTAGTTGAAGCAACCGGGATTTCTGGTCCTTACGAACCAAATTCGGTTCTCATAACTCTTACGATCGGAAATCCGGTTTCTTTCCGCCGAAACGCGCGAACCGAACTCTAAATTCAATTTAATTCGCCGACGATCGTCGGACTTCTCGTTTCTTCGACATTACCGTTCTTTCTTTCAGAACACGCGTAAACAGCATTTCAGGCAACCCCACGGGGTACGTTTTCTCACGGTAGACGAACGCTACTCTCCCTTCCGAGATTTCGCCGCTAACGTATATACGACTCGCGCGAAAACGACCGAACGGAGGAGAGGAGAAGCGCAACAACGCGTAGCCGTTTCTCGCCAGATTTCGCCGGAGAACGCTCGCGCACCCGGGGTTATTAGTCACGAAAACGCAACGAAGAAAGCAGCAACGACGGCTCCTCCGACGCTACTCCGGTAAACGGCGGAGTTCCGAGACAAATAGCAAGAAAACCCCGGCGAGCTTCTCCATCCTGAAATATGACGGCGTTAATTCAAGGCGGCCCTCTCTCTCTCTCTCCCTCTTTCTCTCGCGCGTGCGCTCGATACCACGGCGAACCTTGTCAGCCGTTTCCACCCTCTCTTCTCATACCGACTCGCCCTTCAACCTCAAACCCATCCAGCGTACTCCAACGTCTCTCTTCCTCAACGACGCCCGTTGTCCCTGCTCGCCCCCAACAATTATACGGATGGTTGCGCTCAGATACACGTCGCTCTCGCGTAACTGTAAGGCAAGGAGCGGGAAAATGCGACATACGGAGGGTCGGCGGAGTAAGTATTCGGCGAAGGAAGGGCCCCCGGTAGTTGGCGAGGAGGAGGCTGATAGGAAGGAAGGAAGGTCGGTATCGGGGGTGAAACAGCGCTGAAGGAGGTCGGAGAATACTCCGCAAGATGGATGGCCTCACGATCACGCCGTGGAAACGCTAAGAGGCGCGACGGGTCATTGAAAGTGGGGGTGGGAGACTAGCTAATGAAGAATAATGTCCCTTCCCTCTTGACGATTATTCCTGGGAAACGTCGTGCAGCAGCTCGAATCTTCTAGTAGTCTTGATTGCGTAACCGGACGTGAGAATTTTAACGAGATAACATAAAACGGGCAGGACATGACGTGAACAGAATCACGAGACAAATTTCACCAAATCGTGCGAATTTGTTCTCACCGATTTTCCATTTGCGTCCCAGTTATATTTGATGCTTTACTTACCGACACCGCAGCTACGTTTGCTTTCAATACGGTTTGGACACATTTTCCTCGATACTACTTGGAACACAGCCCGAATTGAAATGTCGGCCCTTGTTAAATCTTTAATTCTATAGCACGGTAGAAGCAAAGCCAAAATAGGTTCAATTTCAATTCTAATAATGTAGCATTAATCCCTTTTTTCTGATATCTTAAATTTTCGTTCTAGTTGTTCTAGCGTCAAAATAGATTCTTCAAGGTAGCATTAAAATTCAATCTTATGAAGGTAGAATTAAAGGCTCAAGGGAGAAGTTAAAAAGTATATCAGTATTATCAAAGTAGGTTTCTATTAGTCTACAGGCCGTCTAAGTAGGCGCAAATTGTCTTTCAGAGATTATTTATCAGAGTAACATTAAAATTTCGAGGCGATGTCTAACGAGAGATCTTAACTTTTGAAAATTATTCAAAAGCAACTTCCATCGGATATCGGCTGCGTTCCAAACTACGTTGAAAAGAAGTGTTCAAGTCGTATTAAAATCAAGTACACAGCTTATTAATAGGTTTCCGAACGGTAAAATGTCAATGATGTATCGGCATATTGTTGTATCATTTTGTTACCGCGGAGAGTGAGTTTACCCGCGATCTGAATCCGCGGCTGGCTTATGTGCCGGTATATTTCTTTCCGTTGTTTTTTTTTTTGTTCGTCTCGCATTGGTAAGCCGCTCGTGGAACATCATTGAATTTTACGAAGCGGCCCGGTAGCCGCGACACCAGGGCGACGACGGTAAGCCAGGAGGGAGTAAACTCGATAGGACAGAATGGTACTACGGTGGGCGAAAGATGCCGCGACTCGAGAATCAATAAACTCTCTCGCGCAAAGGCGCACACCGTATACACACGAGGTGCCGCGCCCATAAAGTTTAACAGCGCCGCGGAATCTCGACCAGCGGCGGATGGAACGACCGGGCGGATCCTAATGCCTCCGGTTCATAAGGTCGTAAATTTGACGAATGTACGCGCGAATCTCGAACGGGAACTACCGCTTGACCCACTGGATCCCCAGCTATTGACCGAATGATCTGTGAATCCGTGAGAGAAATCGCGCACTCGACGTAAATGTGTCCGTCCGATGACAATTCACGATACGATCAATCGTTTCGATCGATCTCATTAATATTATCAATTCAATCGGAGATATAGAACGGACTTGTACACAGAAAAAATACATACTGCGTTTAAGTAAATATTTTTCTTGTTTCAAGTATTTCTACATATAAGTTGATGTATCCACACGTACATCGTAAATTCATCGTAAGCATGACATTTATTCCAAATATGTTCTGAATCCTACTAAGTTTGGTATTTCAATCGAGAATATTGAATTAAAGCACTGAAATTAAAACTTCAGTTCACTTATTCAAATTAACTGAATTTAACATTTCTTCGACAAGTTTATAATATTCTTGAAAAAAGAACAAATTTTTGTTCAAATAAATGATAATGAGCCTTTCTAATACTTGTGATGGCTATATTTTAATACTATTATCAAGAAAAAGAATATTCTTCCTTCAAGATCATTTTTAAAGGGAGACAAATAAACTGATTAATTGCTTTTCTTCGAAGTACAGGTAATATTTTTCTATAAACAGTATGTATAACAGCGGCCTAGTCGTGGCGTTTATCGTAGCAATATATTAATATTTGTAATTGTTGTCGTGGGAAGATTCGAATGTATAACATTTAACGATGCGCTCACACGCATCTGTAAAAAATTAAAAATAATGGGAGAAAAGCGCGTACCAAAACTGACATGGGTATTGTAAACCGACATACCCATGTTTCTCGGTTACGAGAGTTACGAACGGTCACGACGTATCTGTGACGATGTCGGAAAATTGAAAAGAAAACGCCACAATATGACGGATACGCATCATGGATCTCTTCATAAAACTAAAGTATGCAAAATTCGGAAAAGCGTGTTTCCGCATCGCGGACCGATTAATCGCGTGTCGGACGACTCCCGACGGCGATGTCGGGAAAATGTCGAAGGACGTCTCGGAGGCGGTCCGGTAGACGCGATAAATCGAATCCACTGTTTTCCGCCTGGCAACCGGCTCGAACAATGGTCCCGTCACGTCATTCGGGCAATAAAACCTCATCAAATCACGACCCTTCGCCACCGTGTAAGCTCGTGTGCGCGCGCACTCGCACGCTCGGCTCAATCTACGAAAGCTTATATAAATGTAATGAGACCGTGACCGGGGGTGCCTCATCAATCACACCCCCTCCGCCCAACCCTGTCCCATTCCGCCGTCGACGTCGCTCCTTCCCTCGGTCGTCTTCCGCGCCGCACATACGTCTACGCGTTACATAGACACCCTTGAACACCGCACCGGCCCGTCCGTGGTAATCCCGTGACTTAACATCGGGCTCCGGGCTCTCCGGGTAACCGCGATTTGTTCCATTGCGCTCAGAAGTTGCGCGCCACGCCGCGCCGTTAGTTCCTCGGTCAAGAGAGTCCTCCAGCTCTCATGGCCGTGGCTCCGGCCCGAAATTCTCCCTCGAGTAAGTATCTGTGTTCAAATGCAATGCTCTTTGAGCGATATCCTATCGGAGCAAAGCACCATGTTCCGTAAAACTACGATATTCGGAATATCGGAGGAGAAGATGGTATTATGGCAAAATACATATCGATTGTGGACAAAGTTATTGTACTAAATGGAGGGAAGGGGGTGGCTATAATACCACCTTTTCTTCTACTAAGAACTTTTTCGATACCGTTAGCGCGACAGATTACAATCAAACTACAAAATTTGCCGAGTCTCCTGATAACGATTCGCGTGAGATTTATTAATTCGCTGCGACTGCAGCTTCAGCTGCGGATGAACTTGTTGTCGTTTTTACGTTTGGAGAAGAAGGCGGCGTATGTACAGGCAGGTTTTCATCGTAAAATTGGAAACAATCCTGACGACAGGATTTCTCTGAGAAGTCACATCTCGTTTGATAAGGTTAGCGCAATCCTGGGAGTTGGA